CAACCCATCAATATATTTATTCAATCATTTATTAAAAAAACAACAATTTCTACATAAAAATAAATCAATATAAATATTTCAAAATATATTTAATATATTAAAATTATTTAGAATCTATATATTAATTTATAAATATATTAAAAATATATATAAATCAAATATACCCATATATATATATATATCCTATATAAATATAAACAATTCAGAATAAAAATCAATATAAATTATACAAAAATATGTTTATATATATATATTATTATCAATTAATATTTAAAAATATATATAAATATTATTAAGTCAAAAATAATAATAATAAATTTATTATAATAAATTCAAAATAAATAATATTTTCTTATAATATAATAATACAAATTACAAATATTTCAATAATATTTAATAATCGAAAACAATATATTTTAAATAGATTATTATAAATATAATTCATATCAATATATATATATATTGTCAATAAGAATCAATTTAATACATATATATATATATATTAAATAATATTATATAATAATATTTAATATATTATTAATTCTCAATTTATTATCATAATGTTGTTATATATATTTTTTTCCAGTCCAAAATTTTTACACATAACATTGTCACAATATCTGTCACACACACAATCACACACAACATTTTCACACACAACACACAACTCTTTCAAGACTTTCACACACAGCTCTTTCACACACAACGTTGTCACTCACAACTCTTTTGCACACAATTTTGTCACATACAGCGCCTAGCTCTTTCTCACAATCTGTCTTCCATTATGTCCTTTCTCTTTCCGACCCCGGTCATTTTTTTCAAAAATCACTTCCGCACCAAATTATATAGTATATCATATCGTAATTTGATACATTTGATCTGTTTTTTTGTCGATTTCCTTCGTCCAATCTTTTGTTTGGATATTTCTAATTGTAACCTCCGACAATGTGATGTGCCCATGGACTAGACCTTTGTTTCTTGATTATCATGCGTGTCCAGTTCCATCTTTTCGCAGCTAAATGCTTCCCCTTCCGGCAATCAATCGTGGCAATGGACAATTTCCCATGTATACAGATAAATTTAATGTATAGGGGACTTTGAACTGCCATGTTTGATTGCGGGAGGGCGTCTTCTGTGGACACCAGAATGCGTCTTTCCAAATTTGCTCTTGTCAGTCACCCTAGGGTAGGCTAACATAGATGTGGGAAACCCTCTATTTGAAGATCCTTATGATCCTTTATCCTAAGCAAACCATGGCTTTTCCACATCTATGATCTATGCTACTTTTTACATGCTGTTCCTTGGTAGTTGGTAAGCATGTTGTGCACCTCATTGATTTTGGGTAACTTCTGGCTACAAAGTCGACTGAATGACATGCTGCGATATCCCTAATAACTGGGTTCGTATGTAGATTCATATAAATTCCCTTCAATGGCCAGCCCCAGAGATAGACAATACATGACAATACTAAAGCAGTAGAAAGGGATTACAACGTATGCTGCCAAACCCCCCCGCGACTTTTTCTCACCCTCAAGGTGGCTTCAAAGCTCTGCAATTGCAGATGAGCAACACATCCTATGGTAATCAAACGTGGCAATTGAACATCCACCATTTATACATGATTTTCCCATATTTTCCCACTTAGACCTCCATCTTTTCATGTTTCTTATTGCCACCTTTGACCAAAGCGAATTTCGTGATCTCTAGAGTTCACCAGGGAGAAACATTCCCATACCCTGGCTGATCTTAGGTATCCTTAAAGAACAGTATCTCTATAGGTCTTCCTCCATTGATACCCCAAGAACAAGTCCGTAGTGTTTTCAAACCAGTCGAAAACGCCCGGTTTGGTACTATATCTGCAAGCCTCAAACCCTTTTTTTCAGTGGTTACGCCCCAGTTTGCAGAGTTTCTTGGTACTTTAGGGTATCTTTACAGTATCTTTGGTAATGTCAGCAACCAATTTAACCGCTGATGCCTTCAGCCTTCAGCTTCACTCAGCTCCATTCGCTCACATCACTTCGCCCCGTCCCTCGAAACACCTGGCGCTTCCAGCGGCTCCAAGACTGATATCCCAATCCATTGGTTAGTCACATGCAACATGAATGAAGATTTGGAATGGTTTGGATACATGAATGGGATTTTCAGACCAAATCTATTGCAAATTGCTAATGTCTTTTTTCTAGATGATGTTGGTACAGTGTATCCCCAAGCTATTGGTTTTCCATTTCATCAGATGAAATGGATGTTTGGGATTTTCGGACGCACCCAACCAGAGGGTCCCGGGTCCCCATAACTGAGACGGGCGAGTGGATAAACGAACTAGGCTATTGGATGGCTTCATGGATATATTGCAGCGGGATGGAGGAAAATAAAGTAAGTTCTACACGGGTAACCACACAGTCGGGAAGAAATAGGTAGAGTAGTTGACGAATTACACCAATAAATTTTATGATGAATAAGTGTGATGCTTTTGATGTTCTAAGGCATTCTAAGGGCCCCAATGCCAGGATTGCAAGCATCGGCTGCATCTTCAAGCTGGGCAAATATGGCATCCTACGGAAACTACCAACCAGCGAATGTTGAAGGAGGAGGTAACCTTCTGGGGATTGTACCTTGCTGTTCCTTGATCACGAAAAAACAAGTTGCTGCAGACCGATTTCTGATTTTTGGGCATGTCTTGAGCATGAACATTCAAGAGTCCAAGAGTTGTTGTGCTGATTGTGACAGAAGCATGATTTCACTGCATCATTGTGGCCACATGAATCACATGATTCATTGACATTGGATTTTGCTCATTACCATTGGCATTGCAATTGAACATGGATGTGCATGAGATATCACCAATTTTTAAATACTGTCTGGCCATACCCCCTACTTGTTCCCTAGGATGCTTTACGAAGCATTTTATAGAGAAAATTGGTTATAAAATGGTCCTCCGTCAGCCAACAATACTGGCCCATGACCATTCAAATATCATCAACTACCATTCAAATACTGGAGGTTCGCCAAGATGGGGGTCCCCAGTCATCCAAGTCGTGACCATGACTTAGCATTGAAACACCCATGGTGACGGTATTCGCCTGCAGCCGGGAGGGCAAAAGTCACTGGTCACCTTCTTTAGCGAATCTTCAAACGCCTGCGGCGATGCCAATGGCTTCGACGGAACAACCCATGGTATCCCTATGGGACCACGGAAGATGATACTTGGGCTTTAAAGGATTTTAAAGGTATCCCAGGGTATCCCTATTTTCAGACAGACATGGTATCCCATGGTATATCCCAAGGTATCCACTGGCCATATTTCCTTAGCCAGATGGTTGTTTTCCAAAGGTGAGTCATTATTTCATAGAAAGCGATGTTGGGATTGAACTTCGCCAGAAGAATACGCGTACCTCTGGGCTTCAGCCCAAGTTTTGGATGCTGGTCGTTGAACAGAACAAGGATAGACATTTTCTTCGGAACATGCCACACATATATACACATATCCCACACACACACCACCATCTCTAGTTTGGTCAAATCTTGGCCCCAGCAAATGTGCTGGCGAAATCCAATTGTATCCAAACTATGTGGCTTGGTGGTGCAATAACCATCTTGAAAAATATGAGTTCGTCAATGGGAAGCATTATCCCATATATTATGGAACATAAAAAATGTTTGAGACCACCAACCAGTATGTGGGTTGGGAAAACTAGAACTTTAAACCTGGCTGACGGGGGGATCATCTGTGTTGAACGTTCATGGCTTCATCGCGCATCAGTTCTATCATCTGCTGGTTCGTTGAAAGGCGTGGATGGCAACCTTGATGAACACCGAAGGGGAAGTGCTTCATACCCCCGGTATGCAGCATCCCCATCCCCACGTATCCCCAAACATCAGCAGCTTTCATCCCAGGATATCCAACAGTCCCACAGCGCCTTCAAATCGTTGGGGCTCAGGTGATTGTGGTTCAGTTTCAAATCTCAGAGGCGGGACCCAGTAGGACCCAGTAGGAGTGAATGAGTCCAGTGCTGTCGCACTTTTGTTACAATGTTCACATCGAGGGATTACAGTGATTACAGTGATTAGACTCGCTGATTGGTCGATTGGTTTGTTGCCACTAAGCACCAAAGGTTGATGTTAACACTTTGTTTGCTGGACTGTGGGCCAGCCATATCTCAACTCTGTCATTGGCAGCCCCTGGCAGCCGCAACCGAGGGGCTTGAGAAAGGTCTCTTGTCATGAGCCAATTTCAACTCGTTCAGTGCGTCACCGGCTTCAATTTCATTCCTGCAGAAATGTGGTCCCTGAGGATCTGTCACACTGTCAACGGAACATCAGAAAAAAGGCCACATAATATGAACCCCTACATATGGAGGTTTCCTTACAGGGAGGGGTCCCCCAAATTATCCTTATAATAAACCCCTACATAATGGTTTATAATGGGAACCCCTACATATGGATTTTCCATTATAAACCATCCATTTTGGGGTACCCCCATTTTGAGAAAGCTCCATTTGAGTTTAGTGTTGCAAGTCAACATCTCGTCGCTACGGTGCGTTGCAGCCGACAACGATCAATCCCATGCGATCTTGTTATATGATATTTCCATGATACTATAGGATATACCATCCATACACTCAATCTTATTAATTCTTATATACATTTACTGATAAAGTAAACTGTTAGTTTACCAGAGGTTTATCATCTACAAATGAGTGATTCCATAAATTCAATAGGATATACTATATACTACATATGATTATATACTATAGTATAGGATATTTCCATCCATACACTCAATCATAAAAACATATTATATAGATTTACTACATATGATTATATATATATAATATGATGATCTATATTTACTATGATGATCTATAATATGATGATCTTATATATACATACTATAATATATATATATATATACATATTCATTATATGTCCATATTTTTTCAAGGGAAAGATGATCCAATTTCGCACCTTTCCAGGCCCAGACTTTGGAGCTTGGAGCCGGCTAAGGTCCTGCGATGTGGGTGGGCCCCGCTGGAGGGCTCCGCAAAGGCCCCGCAAGGGTCCGCAAAACATGGGTATACTAGCCAGGGTTTTATTGATATGTATGATATGTAGATTTTTTATGGGTAATTATATGATATATGATGATATATGTTTAACCAAATGATGGGTATATTTGGTATATATTTGATGATAGAAATTAATTATTATGAATATCTGGGGGGATGACCAAAAATGCTTGGTCCATGGCACAAAAAATGGGTGCAGAACTAGGGCTAGGGAAGTTGGCACATCTGGTTCAGAACTTGGGGACAGGTCCCTTGGAACAGAAATGGAAGATCTTAGCTCCTGTCAATGGTTCACACGGAGGGTTTAAGTCAACTCACTTAATCTGGGATGTAGTACGTATGGACCTATGGTAACCCCCTTGGTTTTGACTGTTCTATCTTTTCGAGAGCCATCATTAAACATCCCGAAGAGCCAACACTGGCCATGTGATGGGAAACCCAGGGGCCTTTTTTCAGGGTGGGCCCCTGAGAGAGCCAGGACATCATCTCTTCACCCAAACCCTTGCCAAGCGTTGTCATAAAACACCCGGTGTACACATACTTGGCACGTTGTCATGAACTTTTTGGCTTTCAACTTCAACAAGAAAATCCCCAAATCTGGCCATTTCCCATCCGCGGTGGCCTGGCAATGGCTAACAAGCCTTTGGAGCCTAAGGCATTTTGCGCCAATTCCAAGTAGTACAAACCTCGGAGCTGGGCAACAGCGGCAACTGAACCATGGAAGCAATGGAGGAATCGAACCGGGGCATACCCGGCATCCCACAGATTCTCCCACAGCACGACTTTCTTGCTGAGCCGTGGTGCCAATTGGACCAATGATGAGTCGTTGCCGCCTAGTTCTCGTTGCGGGTCTTGATATTGTTCAAACCCATCCATCCCCAATAGTGTGGAGAAATAATAACACATCTTCAAGCTGAACTACAGCCATCAAATCAGTTCTTATCAATTCTCCAGATTTACCATCAATCACTTACAGTCTTACAGTAATCAAGCTATTCCCCAGAAATTACCGGTTTTTCAGTCCTCAAATTGGCGATTTCTCCTTGCACCCTTCATGTCCAAGTGGCTGCTGCGAGGCAAAGCTTTGGCAATTTGCTCTATGTCCTGGGGATCGCCAAGCTGTGCCCAAAACCCAAAGCCCTTCATCTTTGCCCAGAAAGAACAGCCATTTAATAGCCATTTCATAGTCATTTAACAGCCATTTCATAGCAAATGTCATTGTCATGTTGATTGGCAAATGATGAAAAACATAGAACAACAAATCAGTGAATTTCGAAGGCACCCATTTCATCCCCATTTCCGTGCCGGGCTCCTCCAATGTCAACTCACCTTAGCAGCAATGACATGCACCGCAGCTTATGGGGTCTGAAATCTGACACAAGACTCTGAAATCAATAAATATGGATGTTTGCTGTATACATCGTGGGTAAAACAATAATAAACCATCCCCAAATTCACCATAAATAGGTGGTATAAACAATCAAAATGGGGTGGTTTATTATTGTTTTACCCACATTATACTGATTGTTTGGTTGGTTGTTTCAACTCATCCACCCCGCCAACATTGTTGCGATCATCCTTCAATATGCATCGAAAACAAAGGAATATCACACCAACTACCAGTGTTTGCAATCATATTCACGTTCACCATCATTCGCCTTAAAACATCTAAAGACACCACAGATTTAAACAACCTCCCAAAAATCCTACATATTTCTACCACAGATGGAAGCCATAGATTTTCCACCAACATGCCATGCAAATATCGCCCGTTACACCATGGCACATTGCATCAACACCAGTGCCGTGAGCGTCGGAAGGCTCCGCATCAAGGTCCCTAAGGAACGCCCGGCACCTGCCGTGGCGCGAGACGAAAATCCGCAAGTGACTGGCAAGCCGTAACCAATAGCTGGGATTTACTTATATCTATAAATTATCATATGATACATATGGGTAAATTACATTATATACTCATGGATCATATCTGACCTGATATATTATCACAATATTCACCCCGCTTCGCGTGGGGTGGCCGCCCACACCGCAGGTTTATTTAGGTCCGTGAGAGGGGCTAAGGGTGGTTTTCCCCCGTGGGGGCTCCCCAAGCTAAGAATTTTAACTTTCCCCCCCCGTGGGGGCTCCCCAAGCTAGGGAATTTTCACTTTTCCCCCCCGTGGGGGCTCCCCAAGCTAGGGAATTTTCACTTTTCCCCCCCGTGGGGCTCCCCAAGCTAGGGAATTTTCACTTTTCCCCCCCGTGGGGGCTCCCCAAGCTAGGGAATTTTCACTTTTCCCCCCCGTGGGGGCTTCCCAAGCTAGGGAATTTTCACTTTTCCCCGCCGTGACAGCTTCCCAAGCTATGGAATTTTCACTTTTCCCTCCCTTGGAGGCTCTCCAAGCTGCGGAATTTCAAATAGCTAGACAACGACGCCTAGATAGTCCCCCAAATCCCGTGTTCTTTGAATGTGTTTCCATGTTTTTGCAATGGTTTCCTTCAAAGCACGGTACTTTACACTTTTGTCGCCATAAAACCGGTCGAAAACATCATGTTCGACAATGCTTCCAATTCCCTTATCTCCCCAACCGTTGAAAATACCGCTATTTACAGTGTTTTCTTCAATTTTTCCATGTTCCAATGCCGGTAGCCAACTCCAACATATATATATAGAAATCCTTCCAAAACATTGTTTTTGACAGTGTTTTTCCAATGTTTCCAGTCAAACAGACGGTAATTTACACGTTTTTTGCCATAAAGGCAGTAAATCCTTCCAAAACATTGCTTTTGACAGTGTTTTTGTAATGTTTCCAGTCAAGCATACGGTAATTTACACGTTTTTTGCTATAACGTCAGTCCAAAACACTTGTTTTTGCAGTGTTTTCAATGCTCTGGCATCCAAAAACCCTGCAAAATCTTGCTATGTACAATGTTTTTTTTCATTTTTGGCCGTTTTTCCATTGCCGGAAAGCTACCAAAATGACCCAAAATTCCATTTCAATACCCTCTTGCGCTCAGACACCCAAAAATCCTCGAAAAATGTCGAAAACACCACCGTATTCTGGTCTCGGTGCGAAACCGTTTTTGGCCCCCCCCCCCAGCTAAAGCTGATATAGCGACTGCTATATTAACAAATGTCATTGAGCATTTAGTGTTGCTGTTTTGCCCCCCAATAAGCACGCCTTCACCGCCAAAGCGGTGTGGGCGGATTTAACAAGAAAAAGACCTGGGATATATGTCATTATATAACTATTATATATATATATGTACACTAATACAACACCAATGGATTATACGATGAGGATATCATGGGGATAAAACTGGGATCTAATGGAAATATAACGATATATATATATATATACATTACATATATACATATATATATATATACACACATATATATATATATATTGATATGGAAATATCATGGGGATATAATCAACCATGTGCCATGGTTGCCACGGTTGGGATTCCATGCCATGTAGCAACATGGCATGGAATCCTTATGGATTGATGACCGTGCCGGCACGGTCCGGCACGGTGGTTTTTTAGAGTTTCCGCCACGGTTCATGGTGATCTAACAAGGGATGTCTGTCTGGAGATAACAAGGGATATTTGTTTTTCTTTGTGTAGAAAGAATGACCCTTAAAAAGATAGGCACGTTACATTTTGTAAAGCTACTCTTTAGAGTAGGATTTGAATGGATTTTACTGTTCTATCTCTTTGGGCTTTGCTGTAGACTGCTATATCCCATATTACAACTGGATTACTTACAACCCCACTTACCACAACAGAAGAAGAAACTGCTATGGCTTGGCAAAGCCCAATCCTCGATTTCATGGTTGAACCCTGCTGGCGGCAAGAACCATCCGAGCAAGGAGGATGCAACAGTAGATGCCAGTATTAGTCACCAAGATAGCTAAGTTGATATAAGTGTGTTTAAAACTCCAATACGACTCTATGACTTAGGGTAGATACATCTAGAATATTCTAGAATTAAAAACCACATTGTACACACCACATCACACCACTTTTCGTTTCTGTTGATTGCCTCACCATGTCGCTATGGTCCATCGATTCAAAAAGCAGTCCCCGCCTACCAACGGATTCATGGAGAGGTTCAAGGCCATCAAATTCCAGGCCAGCGACAGATCTACGGAGCGGCGGAGGAGGATGAACATCATAAACTATGCGCCAATCGAAAAAAACATGTTCTTGTGACTATAAAGCGTAATGTCAACCCTGGATGATTGAACCGTGGTTTATTAATTAGGGGGTACTCCTCCAATAGTCATAATCCAATAGTAATGTCTGAAGGCCCCCCCCCAAAAAAACAATTATGACGGTTTGACTGACGTTTTCCAGTAAGAAAAATTAACCATCAATGGGGATATGTTGACCCGCGGCCCCACCTGGTACCGCCCGGTTGACCTGCGATGGGCATCTGCCATGACTTGTCCCATACCCATGGGGAAAAGTGAGAAAATCTACATGTCTGGTGGGTTTTACCTATCATGTTTATATACATATTAATTTATTGGAGGATAAATGATGCTAAATCAACAGCAAATGGGGCAATGACCAATCTGGAATTGGATGATTGGTCACCACATTTCAATCTTGATTTCCAATTCGCCAATATGAAAAGGAGGTTATTTTTGCCGGATTTTTTTTGTACGAAAGATTCATGGCAGCAATGGTGATGACTTCTTTATAGTTCACCCAGAGCCATCTCCAACTGGTCCCCCTTTCAACATCAACCCAATGAGCATCTTGAAGAATCCCATCCCAGTGGCTGGAAGAACATCAACCATCATTGACCATCATTGACCATCGATGATATTAATATGATGATATGATGATGATATCCAGTATTCCCATGCTTTTCTTGGTTCAAACATGAACTAACACTTAAACCAGCCATATATTTGGTGTATTGATGACCAATCAACTGCTCTTTGTTCATTCGATCCACTTTGGAGGAGGTTTCCGTGCCATGCCTTCTTCGTCATCTCCACGGCTGTCATCTGAGGCCTGAACGGAGAACATCCCATCCCCATTTTTTTCCGCTGAACATGAGTAGATCCAGTACTCAACCGAGGTTTCTGGGATGGTATTTAACATTAGGATACATTAGGGTCATGGAATCAGGAACAACATTTTTAAAACCAACAATACATGGGGAGATTTGACTGGCAAACATATGGTGTTTTTCTGGCAAAGAAATGGATTAAACTACTCAGAATATGAGCTGGTAGTCTACAAGGAGCCCGGGCATGGCTGGCCATGGTTTGTAAGTTCCCAAGTAGTCCCGTCATATATTTATAGGCAGGACCCCCATGCTGGGATTGGCAAATAGTACGCCCGAGCCATATCGTAACATATTATAACTAAACCAGTCCGAGGTGGTACCTAAATTGACCACCGTAAAGCCTATACTTAGATGGCGTGTTTGCACACCAACAAGTATTTGAAACAGCATTTGGAACAATCCATTGGATATGATTAAATACTGTTTCAAATAGATATACGATTACATCCATTGATGTCGTTTAAGTATGTTTAAGTATCTTTAATGTGGGTAAAACAATCATAAACCATCCCCCAGTCACCATTTTTATAGGTGGTATATATAAAATGATATAAACCATTCCCAGTCATGGGTGGTTTATGATGTTTATGGCATGGTTTTAGCCACAGCATTCCATCCATCTCCCGCCTTCCAAAATCCTGAGCCACATGGTGGAGTTGCGGAGCTGTGATGTGGCAGTCTATGGCGTGCAACACGCGCACTCGGCCTCGATGAATAAGAAATCACTGAGATCAGCATCGAACATCAAAGATACCGAAAAAAAGCCGGATTGTAAGACATAGAATTTCATGGTTATTATGTTGATGTATGCAAAATGATATACTTTCTATAAACTGTTTTTTATATACAGTGATTGACTGAATTCAGGCATCATCAATTTTATCAAACGTCAGACAAACACAGCTTTTGTTTATTGTCGAAGCGTGTCAATTCCCATCAAACCAGGCCCCACGTCGAGATGACATGGTCAATCTCTTTCCAGTGGTTTTATGACTTCTAGGACGCCCATTGGGATTTACTATATCCTACTATCTACTATATCCTACTATATCTATCCATTTAGTACCTATAAAGATGGTAGATTAGTACATGTACCTACTATATCCTACTATTACTACCTCTCCGAAATCACCGTTCCCATCGTTCCAACATGTTCCATCTGCATCCTGGGCACCACGTCTCAGAGGTTGCAATGCCAGGTTTTTGTCCTCCGACCATTGATCCTCCGGCGGCTGCGATGGGGCTGGATAAAATTTTTAAAAAGTGCCTGTTCATACACTTGAAAAAAGGATTAAAAAAAGGATAACATCTTGGAATGATATATGATATATATATATATGATATATATATATATATGTTTTTTGGTCGATAAAAAACAAAATCCATGTATATCTTGGAATGATATCTCCATATATCTCCTACTTGCCATATAGCCAACTTTTGCTGGCTCAAGGAAATATTGCCATTGCATACACATACGCAACTCGAATGCAAATTGAAAGATCTTACACGATCTTACCTGCAATTAACATTCACTACTGACATCCATGTAACATACAATGACTCGGATATCGCAGCAAACTAGAAAGCACCCTAAAAACAGCCAGCGACAAAGCTTCTCTATTGTTGGATGCCATGATTTGCCATGGCAACCCAACAAAAGCCCAAAGGGGATCCATCCAAAGAAGAGATGCGTATACCAAGCTCTTAGTAGTCGTAGTGGTTGTTCTTGGTTCATCTTGGTTCATAATGTTCATACCCTCGGTAATCAAACTTGACTAGCTGGGAAATTCCCGAACTAAATGGAGGTTTCACAGCAAAAATCGTCGAACTAGTTCGCTGGTGGAGTTCCAACAAGCCATGGTAAGCCATGGAGCTGATTACCAGAGGATAAATCCCATTGATATTCCCTTATCATCCTATTAATATCCCATTAATCATACATATCCCATGGTTATCTCATTAATATCCCATTAAAAAAAACTGGATAACCCCCTATGATTTGGAGCCGAGCGTCGTATCCCAGTCTGCAGCCATGGAAACTCCTGCGGGAATTCACGGACAGTCTGACAGAAGTGATTTACCTACGCATACAATACATATCTAACATGTATGTTATATGTCAAATAACGTCAAATATTAGTGTATGTAAACTATATATATGATTTAGTATATATATACACGTTATAAATATGTATATATATATATATGTATATATATATACATATGGAGATATATTCATACACAACATCTACTGGTCGCGTGCATAGAAATATACATCTTCATATTTGCACTACGTATATCACAGCTCACTACCTATTCCCCAATGACCCAGAGGATTTAACATTGAATTTCTTCAGAGTCTACCCATCAACATTCATGAACCATAGATTTCACCCAATTTCACCTAGCTATTACCCGGCCTGGTAAACATACAAAAAACCATGGAAAGATCCACCATTTTTAATGGGTAAATCAACTACTGGTTGGTGGTATACCACCAATACCTACCCCTCTGAAAAATATGACTTCGTCAGTTGGGATGATGACATTCCCAAGTGAATGGAAAGTCCTAATCCAGTCATGTTCCAAACCACCAACCAGACTATTTCTATGGCCATTTTCCAGTTCGCAAACTGTTAGTTTACGCAGATCTTGGATCTCCCCATGCCGCCATCGCCCAGTGGCCATTTCAGCAGATGCTGCGTTTCAGCCCAGATTTTGAGGAAGGCTTCGGTGCCTAACCGACATCACCGCGATTCGTTTTGGGACCCTCTGGTAAACTAACAGTTTGCTATTGAACGTGTCCATAGAAATAGTTGATTTACCCATTAAAATTTGTGATTTTCCATAACTATGTTAGTTTCCAGAGGGTATATGAGCTGATATGGCTTAATAGAGTTTTTTTAATAGTCAGTTACTATTAGCCATTATGGTTATTAGTTATATGCACTCGTCATAACTGATATAGTTCAATAAGTATGCTGAGTTCAATATAGTTCATAATAGTTCAATATAGTTCAGAACTGGCATAGTGTCCACGATAGTTCAAGGTAGTTCAACACTGGGACCACACTGGATTGTAACAGGAGAAACACATCATCAAATCATCAACCAACTGGTGATTCGGATTTCGCAATCCACAGTAGTTTGGCAACGTTTCTGACTTTGGAATTCTTCATACTTCCAAATCAGGGGTTGGTAACTGTCGCATTTTGGGAATATTGGACATCACCTTATAGTAGCCATTATAGACCATATACCTAATGGTTGGGTGATGTTCAATGGGGACATTTAATGACCCATGCAATTTTTGAGAAGATCCCGCTGGGAGTGAAGAGATGGATTCCTGGAATTTTCCCACCGGTATGAATCGTGACCAAATTGGAACGGACAGATAGGAGGTAGACACAGGTAGATAATGTTTTGTGGTTTGGATGGTTTATGAATTGGGAAAACCGCAACACAAAGTCCTATTTGTTGTGGCTATAAACATCATTAGATCAACTGCTGAATGCTTCGGGTCCACGATCATTTTCCAACTCTTGTTGCGCATAGCTTCGATTGATATGTCTATTTACTATTTATTGACCTACTTCATCAGCCTTCAGCAAAAAACGGCCTATGTTTGGGTTTCAAAAAATAGGGGATCCTCAAGTCACCATGGTGATTTCAATACTAAGTCATGATCATCCATGACTTGGATGATTTGAGGGTATCCCATGACTGAGGAAACCTCCATTTAAGTTTGTTGGTTTATAAGGCGATTAACCATAGAATTACACTATAGAATCTCTCTAGATATATACTATAGTTATTTAGAATCATACTATAGTTATATAGTTATACTATAGTTATCACTCTATATACGCTATAGTTTACCAACAACCATATATTTATCAAAAACCATAATCACCAAACCCATGGTGACAACTTCGGGCTAACACCAGCCACTCGGACCGCAGGTAACGCAGGTCCAAGACGCTCAAGTCTGAAAGGCTCAGCTGGAGTGTCTGGAGGGAGTCATGGCACCAATCCCATCCAATAACCATCCAAAAATAGCATCCAAAATAGCTGAAATTTATGGATGAATATATCCCAAATACATCTATTTCAGACACGGTCTAGACTGGTTCAAACACGGTTCAGGTTGGTTCAACTATATACATATATATTATATATAATATATGTTACCATTATAGATTTTGCTTCATCCCCATTTTACCATGGTGACGAATTGGGAGTTAATAGTTTCTTTTTTTCTTGGAAGATCATCAGGAATTCTTGGGACGAGGGATGGGATTTCATAGGGATTTATTGGGAATAACATGGCGGGCTGGGAAATCCCCGAAGTAAATGGAAGGTTTACTGGAAACATCTGGAATTTTCCATGGGGAATTTTCCGCCAAAACCATGTTTGAAAATAGTGAAGGGTAAATGGTTTGTTGAAACTGGTGGTCAAGCCAACCTGATAGGCTCGTCAGGGATCACCATCTCTTTATGATCGAACAAAAACACATCAGAAACCATGAACTAGACAACTAGGTAGTCATTGTTCATTTCCACGCATTTTCGATGAGTAATTTGTGATATCTAATCATTCATTTGTTATGTTTAATTGCACGTTGTTTCTCATCATTTCACCACAGGCGAACTCCGGTGGCATGTAAAACATGAGTAACCCCAAAACGCCCCTTTCCTGCTTCAGCAGTTACATATAAATTGCAACAAAGAGGTTGGTTCCTTTAAGACGATCGGCAAAGCCCATGGGATATGAGGATATGATATCAGGACCTAAACGGGTCATTTTCAGTGTCTTAATCCCCCGGAAATATGAGAGTCAAAGATGTTAAGTCATATACCCAAACCATAGATACATATATATATATAATTATCATATATATATATATATCCAGATTATATCAAAAACACTTGTTCAATGCCGAAGGTCATTTGTCTGTTTAACCGCCGTCTGTGGTGCAGAATAGCTATGTCCCATTGGCTTTGGGTCAAGTCAATGAGTAACTCCAATTTTTTCATATCTGACATAGGTTGATATAGGTTGCTAAGACAATCCCATCATCCCCCTAAACAACTCATAGAAAAAATGGTTCCCATGTGGAACTCATTGGAAATCCCCTATGAAACCATGGTTTCTTGGGGGTGTTTGATAGGGGTGTGTGACCCACACGCAGCAGTGCCTTCATGTCCGGCACCTCTTTTAACATCTTGTGAAGGCACTGAATGGTCTGGCGTGGCAGCCCCTTGTACCCAAAAAGAAACACAAAAATTTGAACAGCATTGATCATTGACATTAACAGTGGTTTCATATGTGGTTTATCTGATTTTTTTGGGTGAACATTTGGTGAACACCTCAAAATTTTGATGGTTGATCGTCAGCTTCCCAACTATGAAATTGCCATTTTCCAACACCAGAATTATCTGTGGGAATCCACCTGTCGAAGTGTTGCAGAGTCAAAACACATCAAGATATAAAGAATGGTTTGTTTCTCCAACGTATAGGTCACTAACATACAAAACATACAACATATTGGTGTTATTGTTCTACCCAAATCAACTCGGGACGGTGGTAATGGGGTCCCCACTTCTGCGAATAAGATGAATTTCGGTTTTTTGTTGGGGATAGGTTGATACTTTAGCAACCAAATCATCCGATGTTTAGGGGAACAAAGACATACAAAACTCCAACATCTTTGGGTTTTTCTGAAAATGGGATGATACTGTACCCCATTCAATCCATTGGTTAATCACCATTATCATCCCTATGAAACTTTGCCACGAACAATGGGGTATACAAAGCAATCTGAATCACAACTCGAAACCCAATCTCATAAATACCCCATGAATATCCCACAACTATCCTGTAAATATTCCATATTTAGATCATCCCACACAACATTATCCTATATTTGGATCATTATCCTACAATTATATATCAAAATCTCATATTTGGATGGTAATTTCCCAGTCATATGGGGATGGGTCAAAACCCTGGCACCTAGTGAACATCAAAATACAATAGCTGGTAAATGGATGTTCATCCCCGTAAAAATGGTATTAATAGGTATTGATCCATACCCATATCCTAACCCAAGGCAGCTTCGCCACGGCAATGACCGTCGCCGCACCCGTGCGACGTCGTTCTCGTCCAGCTGGTACAAGCGAAGACCGCTGTCAGGATCATCACCTTGGAACTCTGGAAGCGGAGAAAATCAAGGGACTTAACAATGGGAAGATCACCATGTGGGATATCAATGGAAGATCATTGGAAGATCAGTGGAAGATCATTGGAAGATCAGTGGAAGATCATTGGAAGATCATTGGAAGATCAGTGGAAGATCATTGGAAGATCAGTGGAAGATCATTGGAAGATCATTGGAAGATCAGTGGAAGATCATTGGAAGATCAGTGGAAGATCATTGGAAGATCATTGGAAGATCAGTGGAAGATCATTGGAAGATCAGTGGAAGATCATTGGAAGATCATTGGAAGATCACTGGAAGATTAGTGGAAGATCACTAGAAAATCATTGGAAGATCACTGGAAGATCATTGGAAGATCATTGGAAGATTATTGGAAGATCAGTGGAAGATCATTGGAAGATCATTGGAATATCACTAGAAGATCATTGGAAGATCACTGGAAAATCATTGGAAGATCATTGGAATAGCACTAGAAGATCATTGGAAGATCATTGGAATATCGCTAGAAGATCAATGGAAGATCACTGGAAGATCATTGGAAGATCATTGGAAGATCATTGGAAGATTAGTGCAAGATCATTGGAAGATCAGTGGAAGATCATTGGAAGATCATTGGAATATCACTGGAAGATCATTGGAAGATCATTAGAAGATCATTGGAAGATCATTGGAAGATCATTGGAAGATCATTGGAAGATTATTGGAATATCATTGGAATATCATTGGAATATCATTGGAATATCATTGGAATATCATCGGAGTATCATCGGAATATCATTGGAAGATCATTGGAATATAATTGGAATATCACTGGAAGATCACTGGAAGATCATTGGAAGATGATTGGAAGATGATTGGAAGATCATTGGAAGATAATTGGAATATTATTGGCATATCATTGGAAGATTATTGGAAGATCATTGGAAGATCACTGGAAGATCATTGGAAGATCACTGGAAGATTATTGGAATATTATTGGCATATCATTGGAAGATCACTGGAAGATCATTGGAACACCACTGGAAGATCATTGTATATTATTGGAATATTATTGGGATATCATTGGAATATTATTGGAATATCATTGGAAGATCAGTGGAATATCATTCGAAAAACATTGGAATATCATTGGGATATTATTGGAATATCATTGGAAGATCATTGGAATATCACTAGAAGATCATTGGAAGATCACTGGAAGATCATTGGAAGATCACTGGAAGATTATTGGAATATTATTGGCATATCATTGGAAGATCGCTGGAAGATCATTGGAATACCACTGAAAGATCATTGGAATATTACTGGAATATTATTGGCATATCATTGGAAGATCACTGGAAGATCATTAGGAGATCATTGGAATATTATTGGAATATTACTGGAATACTAGATATATGTATGGAATATCGTTGGAATATTATTGGAAGATCATGGAAACATCAAAGGAATATCATTAGAATATTATTGGAATATAGTTGGAATACCATTGGAATATCATTGGAAGATCATTTGAAGATCATTGGAAGATCATTGGAATATCATTGGGATATCATTGGAATATTGTTGGAATATCATCGGAGTATCATCGGAATATCATTGGAAGATCATTGGAATATATTTGGAATATCACTGGAAGATCATTGGAATATTCTTGGAATATCATTGGAATATCAGTGGAATATTATTGGAATATTATTGGAAAATCATTGGAGTATCATTGGAATATTATTGGTATATTATTGGAAAATCATTGGAATACCATTGGAATATTATTGGAATATCATCGGAGTATCATCGGAATATCATTGGAAGATCATTGGAATATATTTGGAATATCACTGGAAAATCACTGGAAGATCATTGGAATATCATTGGAAGATCAGTGGAAGATCATTGGAAAATCAGTGGAAGATCATTGGAAGATCATTGGAATATCACTAGAAGATCATTGGAAGATCATTGGAAGATCATTGGAATATCGCTAGAAGATCATTGGAAGATCACTGGAAGATCATTGGAAGATCATTGGAATATCACTAGAAGATCATTGGAATAGCACTGGAAGATCATTGGAAGATCATTGGAAGATCATTGGAAGATCACTGGAAGATTGTTGGAATATTATTGGACTATCATTGGAATATCATTGGGATATCATTGGAATATTGTTGGAATATCATCGGAGTATCATCGGAATATCATTGGAATATCATTGGAGTATCATCGGAGTATCATCGGAATATCATTGGAATATCATTGGAATATCATTGGCATATTATTGGAATATTATTGGCATATCATTGGAATATCATGGGGCTGCCATGTTTCCATGTGTTTACTGTGGGATTATCATGGGAAAATCATTGGAATTTCATGGGAAACCTTGGGAACGAAGCAACCAACTGTATGGGATTTAATGAACCTTTGGGATATTTATATGGTCATTGATGGAATATATTACAATGGTTGGAATATCACTAATTTTGTGGATATATGGTAGGCAAATAATGGGACTAGAAATTGGGAAAAGCATGGTTACAATGGTCGGAGTATGATTTGTTGTAACAATAAATATAATCAATGTAGCAATGGTTTGGGTATTATTAAGGAACAGTATGCACGATATAACAATGGGACATTAATCAATGGCAATGTCAGAAACCCAAATTGGAGGCACCTACCATATATAAGGCCTATGTAGGGGCTAAAGTTCAGGGGAATATCCCCAAAAAACGTGGCCTGATATGAAACAGTACCTCCATCTTAGGGTCCTGAAATTCTCACTGATATAAGAATTTCCCAAATATCTAAATATAAGTCCCTTGCTAAAGCATGGTCTCTGGGAAGTGTTTAATATGAATGGGGGAATGTAGAATAACCCTGTTCCATCATCCACCACTTGGTATTTTCGACACCACGCGAAATGACAAAGAGTCGCCCCAAAATGAACCAATTTTTGGCCATAGAAATGGTGATAGAGATCCAGTGAGATGAATTGAAAGCAACAAACATAGGGATCTCACCACCAAACATATCCAAATATATCTTGGATTGCACCAAATACTATATATCCAAATATATATTGGATTTTATTGGCTATTGGATTGTTAAGTACTTGACTTTCCATTTTTGGGTATATAATCCTCTTTCCAGACCTTCGAAACCTTCGGAACCAAACGGGTTTCACCGCGTCACGGGCTTCGCTGCAAGCGCTTTGGAACATCAAGCGTCGCAGGTAGATCTCCCACCACTCGTGGCCTCGATCATCAAAGATGTTTGGAGGGTCAAAACCATGGTATAGTTGAACTATCATTAATCAAGTTACATAGTATTTTTTTACATACTGTTTATCATAATATGTTTAAATGCTCGAAAAACAACGTTAAACAGTTGAACATATCATGTCATAAAATGAAGCAAATGATTTCTGCTGGGAACGTTCAAATATCGTTGGTACGTGAGACAAACCACCGCAAGCTACACACTTTGCCCACGGAGCATGGACAGATATTTGTGGATGCACAGCTTATCAAGATAAGCAACAGCCCTGTGCTCCAGTACAAAGAACCCCGAACAAGTATCATCTTGGACATTGCCAAGCGGCTACTTTTTCCGCTGAATATAATGAATAGTGGGGTGTTGCTTGTCATATCCCAACTGGATACCGGAAAAATGGATGGATAAGTCCCATGACCAAAACTTGGTGCTTGAATTCCCATGTTCGCTTGTTTTGCCTCTCAACCACTGAATCTCTACAGATATGATATAGATTCAATAAACAAAAGCGATCCAACAAGAAATCACTCCCATCTTGTTTCATTCCATTGGTTCATCATCATTGTCCCTCTGAAATTGCGTTTCATTTGAAGTACCCTCTTGTAATTTAACATACCTATTGAAAATGGCCATTTATAGTGGATTTACCCATTAAAAATTGTGATTTTCCATAGTTACGTTATTTTACCAGAGGGTATGTTCTTCATTTTTGAGGCAGCTTCAGTATAATTGATATGATGGAATATTCACATTTTGGATGGTATTTGATGGTGTTTTATCCTCATTGAATTCCCTTAAAATCCCCAGCAAGACGGACATATGATCAATAGCTTGCGGACATTTCTCGAACTGGGGGGTGCAGGATACCACGTTTCATGGTAAATCCAGTATGGCAATAAATTGTCCATACTGTAATAAATCAATCGTTTCTGGGAAACGCCAAGAAACAACCAATATAAGAAACAACCAATATGAAACAACATATTGCTGGGTTGCCCTATGGTAATCCAACATAGCTTGCTGGAAAATCACCCATTGCCCGCCGCATTTTCCCCAGTAAAATCCCAATAAATCGCTCTGGTGCCCCATAATTTCTGTAAATTACTATCTTACGTTTCGCACGGAAAGTCCATAATTTCATACGGATATGTCATCCTCAATAAATCCCTATGCAATCCTGATTATATGTATATATATATATATTCCGGTAAATTAAACATGCGTATGGAACCTCAATTCATCACCATGTCAGCCTGCAGTAGTGATGCGCCGCACGATGGAAGGCTGCCACCTGGGTTGCACATGGGGATTTCAGCACTTTTTTTCTGGGCGATTTGGATATGGGTCAAAAACCCTATACCCATGGTGAACACCAAAATAGCTGGCAAATGGATGTTCATCCCTATAAATGGTATCTCTAGGGATTGATCCATAGCCATGTGCCAAACATTGGGGATTTGACCCCAACAATTGGCCAAGACAGTCACACAAAAAGGATGGGATTTGACCAGCGACTTGACGAAGCAAAGATGGGGTTGTTGCTTGCAACTTCACGAAGTAAATGGAAGTTGTGGAACACAAAGGTCAACTATGAAAAAACACCAGGGATTTTAGAAACGTAATGTAAAGAACTCAGCAACAAAGATTTGGATCATAGCCCCTAAAATGGGGACTTGCTGCAAACACTTTAGTGAAGACCCGTTTGCAAGCATTGAACCATTAAAAGGCAGGAATGTCCGCATTTCCACGAACTGGAGACCGCCAAATCTCCTGTTTGACAGTCCATGTTGGGCTTTGGTCAAGATCCAGAATATATACAGTGAATACGGCTTTATCTGAAAATAGGTTAGCCCACAGTTGATGATGTTGATGGTTCCTGGTTTCTCATGGCTTATCATCATTTTGCCCTCTGGAAATGCCATTTTCAGACCCATAGAGGCCAGGCCCAACTGGCAGGCACTGACATGCGCCAGGAAAAGGCATTTTAGAATATGTCAAATATCATGAAATGCATGAATTCGAATGGGATTTCCCCTTTTTCTTCAGAACTCAACTTGGATTTCTGAGATTGGATAGTTTTGCAGAAATTCAGAGGCTCAGCGGCTTAGCTGAGTCAGCTAAAAGTCAGAAACGTGTGAAAATCAGGGATCCCATTTGAGCCAGTAGAAAGACTCTGTTTTCCTCATGAAATACGATGAAATATACTATGAAATACTTGTTGGTTGAGACGTTTTCCGTTCATGTGGCTCAGTTCAGAATCTCCAATAACCATCAATAACCCAGGTAGTATCACTTCCAACAAATCAACCAATCATTTTGAACAACTCTACTGGAGACAGAAAAGATTTGCCGCGCCACCATAGGAGAAACGCGATGAGAAGACCAATCAGCCAGATCCACATGGCCACTACGAGGAGATCTATGGGTCTCAGTTGAGCCTTGTAGAAAACAAAACACACGTTATGCTGGTATATTTTTCTTGGATTGTAGCGGATTTAACACGTTTCATTCATGGGTGTCAATTGGGTTGAAACGTATCATTGGTCTTCGTATGTCTTCGTGAATTTCAGCAACACAGGCAATCAAACAACTTCAGTGAGCAAAGACTTCGAGGACACAAATGCTGCTTGTTGCGTGTTGTTATTGTTGTGTGATACATGTACCCTCTGGAAATCGAAACATGGCGTGTTGGAAATGCCAAAAGGTGCATCTGTAATCATCTGTAAGGAATCAGTAGTGGGCAATAGTCCACTTAATGATCTAGTGAAAAAAATGTCTTCAGCTCTACATATAGGTTCCTATATGATATGTGGTTCTATATATTTAGATAGGTTACAACATGTTACCAGCCACTTACGATTTCTGAGATGCACATCTTCACAGCACGACCTCATCCTTGGCATTAGGAAACCTCCATTTGCAGTGGAGGGATCCCATCGCCTTGTTGGATTGCCAGAGGGTAACCATTAAACACTATTACTATTATTACAACAATTATTTTCAATATGACATATCAATTTGTTTGCCAGTTGTGATTGTTGAGTTTTTAACTATTATTAGCTATGTTACATTAACCACCATTAACCACGAAAAAAACCGCCGCCAAAAACACTTTCACTCCAACATCTGAAGATCAGAATCTTCAGAATCGGAGTTCCCCCCAAGACATCCAAAAGCACCACCAGGCCCAAAGGGGCACCGAAAACGGTATCGTTGATGAAACTTGCCAGCCCAGAAAAATGTGATCACCAATATATGACCATTGTATGTATGTATGTATATATATATAAATTATATTATATTATATTATATTATACTATTATTTATATATTATATTATATATATTATATATATATTATATTATATATATTATATTATATATTATATATATATTATATATTATATATTGTATATTATATATTATATATTATATATTATAAAAATATATATTATATATTATATATTATATATTGTAAATTATATATTATATATTATATATTAATCCCCCCCCTTTAAGGGGGGGGCGGGGGGGGGTAAAAACTGAAATATTTCACTTTAGGGGGGGGGTCTCCCCCCCCACACACCTAGAAATATTTCACCTGCCTAAAGTAAAATATTTCAGCTAAAAAAATCTGGTCTATAATGGTCTCTGGGCGTGGTTGAATTCAAGGCTGAACGTCATGTTCTGAAGGCTGTTTGGCAAGTTCACTCTCTTATTTACTTCCTTGGAAACCGGCAGTTACCATTTACCTAGTTGTCAGTGTTTGCGCGTGGGCCCTACCCGTATGTATGTAAGTATGTATGTATGTTCAAAATGAAAGGGTGTTTCATGGTGTGTCATACCGTTTCTGGGCTAAAATGTGGCATCCGGAAGACCCCCCCCCCACGTCTTTTAGAAGCCCAAAAAAACACGTGGGGGGGGGGGTATATTTCAGGTGGTCAGGTGAAATATTTCTCAGAAATTTCATGCCTTACCCCCCCCCCGAAAAATTCCAGGGTTAAAGGGGGGGGATATATATTATATATTATATATTATATATTATATATTAAATATTCTATATTATATATTATATATTATATTATATATATATGATTCCATCATTTATATCAGGGATAGTGATGTATTACACTATAAAATGCTATAAATATCCCCATAAATATGCCATGAATATGGGGGGTTCCTGAAAATGGGGGATACCCTAATAGCTGGATGATTTGTTTCATGGAAAATCCTAAAATGAAATGGATGAGAACCGGGGGTACCCCCATTTCAGGAAACCTCCATATGTGGCTATGATTGGCTGTGGCTCAGAATTGGGTCTATGGTTTATGGTATCTGATTTCAATAGGATATCTTGTCTGTCCTTGGCTGCTATACCTCAACCGTAGCTCGGCCCACCATGGGTCCTGAATTTCGATTCGTGTCCCCTTTCCATTCCGTTCGCAGCGCCTACACTGGCAGCATCTCTTTGGAAGTGCCTGGAGACTGCTTTGCCAAAAAGGTCCAAAAAGTGAAGAAATGCTGCGGCAGACTGGTAAACCCATGGTAAACCCAAAGGCAGGTTTACCATCCCCAATTTCACCAGATGATATCTATCATCCCAAAATGCGAGCTTTATTGTTGAGTGAAATCCCACAACAAACAACGCGTGGCAACGTTGAATAACCGAGAGGATCCCTTTGAGAATTGACTCACAGCGGCCGGCCACAAACCAATGTTTCCCACATTATGGATGTATTCAAATTACACGCGGCATAAGTGTATCAATTTGTCACAATCATAAGTCAACAAAATCCCAAAATGACATCATGCGAGCCATGAATAATACCCTATATATGTCCCAACCCACAGAAATACAGGTTTGTTAAGAGCTATCCTTATCAAACTATGAATGGGCAAATGGGTTATCACAATCCCCCAAAAAACTTAGGTAGCATAACCCCCACAACCGAGCAACACTGGCAGTTTTACTGGCTCATGGGTCGCAATCTCAGGGCGAACTGACGTGGATGTGGGAAAGCCATGGTTGCCCTAGAAAATGACTAGAAATGGTAGTTTTTCCCACATCTGTTGTGCAGGAGGGTATACTCCAGCAATTTAACACGTTGCCTTGGAAAATGGATGGATGTGACCCATATTTTGTTCGATGAGTTATCAACAATGGTGATTTTCTTCAGCGAATTTTGGAAATCTCTTATGTTATAAAAATTACAGGAGGGTATGTATAATTACATACTACATACTGGTATGATCTCCAAACATAGTGACATGTCGCAATTTGGCATGTATACTGTATACAGCTTTTGATCCAGATTGAAGGGGCAATAACATGTTCTGTCTTTAATGCCACAGCCTGGCGAGGCGTGATGCTCGGAGATGTATGTTTAGTCAATGTTATGATATGATATAATATGACTAATGTTATAATGACTAATGTTAAAATGATATATTACTATATTACATCATCTTACATCATCTTACATGAATCTTCTCATCTTGTCATTGCGATAATCCAATGGAATGGGTAACTAACCGGGTCTTCAACCAATTGGGCACCACCAAAGTGCCTTGACGCCCCGTTTTCCCCTTCTGACCGTGGCTCGCGCTTTCGCGTAGCCAACGTTTCGTTGCAAATGAGAATCGTCGATCTCGGCGAAGCCATTGCAGTCGTCATCGTCCAAACAGTTGAGAATCTCTGAAGCAAAGTGTCGTCTCAGGAGTTGTGTTCTGGACACTGTACGAGTTTAATAGAGTTTATGTATGTTTATGTATGTTTATGTATCATATATGATCTGGTTGGTGGTTTCAAGCCATCTGAAGAATATGCGTCTGAAAAAATGGGGATCACCATCATCCCAAAATATCCCAAATATGGTTTTTCAACATGGTGAAAATAAATGATAATCCCTTCCCGCGTTCATAGTAAGCACCCAGAAAGCCACATGGAAATTATGATGGATGTAAGGGGATCAATAAAAAATACATTGAACCAATGGGGCTGTTTAATATGAATGAGGGAAGGGATTATTTGAACACATGTGAAACCATAAAAAAACACGTGATACATCTGCCATTCACCTCGGAATTAGCTGAATCAGGTCATGAAAGGCTGAACACCTGGACGTCCGTTTCATGACTTGAAGTGCGTTGGGGTGTCTGGAAATGGGGAATTTAACCACCCAAGAAACCCACATGGTAATTTTCATGGTAAACCAGGATAATCAACCATCAATTTTTCAGGGCTACTCACTATTTTCATACACTCATGGCTGCCAATTCACAATGAACTCATTAGTCCGCCATTCACCAGTCGATTTACTCATATTTTGACACTTCAACCAGTTCAATCACCATCTTCACTATGAAACTCATGCTGGAACCCCATTTCTTGATACTGAGCCCCCAAAGAACCAACCTGAATCAACCCATTCATCTTGTGGTTTGTGCCTAGCACCTTGCACAAACCTTGATGCTGAACGGCCCTCACGGACCAGTCCTGTATAGTCCTGTCCACCACTCCCAGCCCGACGTCGGAGGGGCACGAGATGCCTCCAAAAAAATGTGCGGCGGACGCCATGCTGCAAAGCCGCCAGTGGGATGAGCCGGAGCTGAAAATGGGAACATCAGATTGGAGGATGAATCTCGACGTACCCAGGGATGACAGCTATAGCAGCTATGATCCAAGAATTCCGTGGTCGACATTCTGAAAAAACACAACTGGCCATACAGCCACCCTCGCCATTCATGATTTCTGATGTTTCCTCTATCAGATTTAGAAGGGCTTCAAAAATATTACACCACCACTTCCAGCCAGGGGTAAAGTGAGTCATTGGGATTTTGTGGGGATGTTTAACCGCTCAAAATGGGACGTTATATTCTGATATTCTGCCTTGATGCCCATGTAAGTTTCCAGCCCCTCGTCAGTTCAGCACATCCCGATGTGCTGCCGTTGTTCCTGTGCTGGCGGCGCCATCTGCTCACTTGAAGGCCTGCGCTTGTCGTCGAGAACCGCACATTCTCCCCGACCGGGAACTCCAAGAAATGGGCACTGGGGCCGCTGGCAACATCTGGCTTGCCAGTAACAGAAATCCGGAACTGCTCATGTAAATCATGTAACAATATGTAAAACGTAATTTGCTGGGGATTTCTGGGATACAAAATAGATCATTAACCACTTTTGAATCATCTGTATCTGGTGGCTGTCAGGTTGGTGGCTTGAGAAAACCCCTGCCCATGTATCTGGTATGGTCCTGCCATTGAAGCTACAAATAAGGCTGATCATCCATTGTTAGAGATTGACAACTGGTTCGAGGTAAGTACTCTCTAAAGACTGCCCTGGCAAAATGATGCAAAATGGAAATGAAAACACGTCTGCTGGTTGTACCCGTTCTAAAACATATATTCATCAAGTGGCACAACCGTC